CCTTAATACCACTTCCCACCCCATTTAGTTGGAGAACAGGAATATCAGAGGAGTTACCCTTTGCACAAGTCAGGTTTCAACTAGAGAAGCAGAACCAGTAGGAGATATATATTAAGAGACTTACAGCAAGACACTGGTTTACATAGGACAGGCTATCAAGGAAGGAACTCATGCTGGAACTCTTGGCTACTAGCTAAAACTGCTGTCTACAAGTGGAATTTCTTCTTTTTTTGTAGGGGAAACCACAGCTCTGCTTCTACAGCCTTTCAACTGATTGAATCAGGCCCACCCAGATTATCTAGAATAATCTCCCTTACTTAACTGATTACAGATTTTAATCATAGCTTCAAAATACTTTCACAGCAACACCTAGATTCATGTTTGACTGAATATCTGGGGGCTACAGCCAAACCAAGTTGACATATTAAAAAGACAATCACAGCCAGGCTCAGACCTGTAATTCCAACATTTTGAGAGACTAAGAGGATCACTTGAGCACAGGAGTTCAAGACCAGCCTGTGAAACACAGACCCAACTCTAAAAAAGAAAATTATTTTAATTAGCTGGGCATGATGGCATGAACCTGTAGTCCTAGCTACTCAGGAGGCTGAGGTGAGAGAATCTTGCTTCCAGGAGTTTGAGGCTGCAGTGAGCTATGATTACATTACTGCACTCCAGCCTGGGCAACAGAGCAAGACCTGTATCCCTTTAAAAAAAAAAAAAAAAAAAAAAGACCATTACACTCCTTTAAGCCTTCAGAACCAGAGCAAGGAAAGATGCATTCCTGGCATCACAAATATTGTTGCTCTGACAGTATTTTCCCACAAGAAGCTTGTTATTCTTGATTATCAGGTTCCCAAGTAATAAAACTAGACTTCAAATTCAAGCTAACAAATGTAGAATAAATGACAACTTAAAAAAGAATCACGATTTTGCAACCCCTAATGCATCTGCTTTTGGTGTGATAAAGGGGGAGCAGGCATGTGACAAGGCAGGAGAAGCTGCAAGAGAGAGAAGATAAGCTTTCATGCTCTTTTAAACAACTGGCTCTAGGAGTGAACTAATAGAGTGAGAACTCACTCATTACCTCAAGGACAACACCAAGGTATTCACTCTGCCCCCATGACCCAAATATCTCCCACTAGGCCCACCTCCAACACAAAATCACATTTCAATGAGAGATTTGGAGGAAGTACACACCTAAATCATATCAACCTCCTCTTCATAACTGTCTCCATTTTCTTGGCCTAGTGAAACTCAATCCTTTAAAACCCACATCAAATGCCCCCTCTCCTCTATAAAGGCGACCATACCTCCCAAACAAAGGTAGTCTTTTCTTCCTTTTTGCTCCCAAGGTTTTCTGAATATAACTGTAATATAGTTATCACAATGGTGTGCAACATCTGCTTGACTTAAAGTTATCACATGTCTATCAATAACACTCTGCAAGTTCTTGATAAATCCAAAGGTATCAATCCTCATTTCACCTGATCCATCAGCTGCACCTGACAAAACTGAACTTACTACTCTACTCTAAATTCTACAACATCAGACTCAAAATTGTCCTTGTGCCTCACTGGCTGCTCAGTCTGTCTCATTTGGTGGTTCTTCCTCATCTTCCTAACCTGTAAGTGTTAAAATGCCTACGGACTCAGGCTTCCTGCCCCTTCTCTTTTCTGTCTACATGTAATCCTTTACTGAGTGTCTCCAGTCTGATGACTTTAAATACCATCTATTCACTGACAACCCCCAAATGTCTGTTTCCAGCAATGACCCCTCTGAAGTACAGAATGAACATACTCATCTGCCCACTCAACATCTCCACTTAAGATGACTGACATCTCAAACATATCATGTCCTTAACTGAACTCCCAATCTTCCTCACAAACCTATCCCTCCCATAGTTTTCTACTTCTCAGTTAATGGCAATTCCATTCTTCTCAAGCCCCAAACTTTTACAATAACCTTATTCTCACAATTCACCTTCAATCTGTAAGCAATTCTGTTGGCTTTACCTACAAAATTACATCCAAAATTAAACTGTTTTTCCACCTTCACTTCTTTCTAGCCAGTTAAGATGTTATCATCTCATCTGAACTACAACAAGTCCGTGATTAGTCTCCTGGTTTTCACCTACCCCACCTCCCAACAAACTATTCTTAACACAAAGCCAGAGAAGATTCTATTAAAACTTAAGTCAGGCTGGGCACAGTGGCTCATGTCTGTAACCTCAGCATGTTAGGAGACCACAACAGGCGGATCACCTGAGGTCAGGAGTTCGAGACCAGCCTAGCCAACATGGTGAAATCCCATCTCTATAAAAGTACAAAAAAATTAGCCAGGGATGGTGATGTACACCTGTAATCCCAGCTACTTGGGAGGCTGAGGCAGGAAAATCGCTGAAACCCAGGAGGCAGAGGTTTCAGTGAGCTGAGATTGTGCCACTGCACTCCAGCCTGGGCAACAAAGTGAGACTCCATTTCAAAACAAAATGAGTAAAACCTAAGTCAGATCATGTCACTCCTCTGCTCGTACCTTTCCATTGGTTATTTACTCACTGGGCTACTCCTCAAGGCAAGATTCATGTCCCTGCACATTTTGATCTCCACATCACTAACATAATGTGTTGTCATGCATTAGCAACTATTTGTTAACTGACTAAAATTAATCAAAGTAAACTGAGACCAAATTTTGGAAACTCTTAATATCAGATTACAGTTTGAGCTTACAAATACTAGAAAGTCACCACATGAATCCAAACCAATATATGATAATGTACATTCCGGGGCTCTTCCCATCTCTACACCAAATAATTATACACAGTTATGAACTAAGCCAGAGAACAAATTCAACATAATTGTTTTTTGGAACTTGAGAGCCATTTGCTGTTGTTGCCCCAAATTCTATAACTGCAATGAACTACTGTAATGACTTTTTTGCACTGCATTATCTTAGGAGAAAATAATAATGAAATTTACACACAAGTTCTCAATAAATGTTGCTGTCTTGGGCAAACAGTGAGTCTGTGTTAGTGTTGTCTGCAACTCTCCTTCAGTGTCAGTACAATTCCTGAGTAAATATCTACTTCTTCCTTTTCTAAAAATGATATTAACATCTGAAGATAAATTTATCCCAAGGTCTAATAATAGGAGAGTATATAAATTATGAGGAGATAGCTCAAGATTGTGATGAGTAATTACATTAGAGTCAATTTACTTCTATTCAATGTTTAATTCAAAGCATTTCCAAAATTATAGCACTCAAGCAGCAAATTACCTTCCAAAACATATAGAAGTTGCTTATTACAATTATCTCATCTATGAAATAATGATAACAGTACATAGGGTTGTTGCATAGATTAAAATTCATAGACAAAAGCCATCAGAATAGTGCCTGACTCAGTTAGCACTGAATATATTAGCTAACATTTTACTAAAAATAAAAATGATCAAATACCCCAATCCAATGTAGCCTATTTAGAGCCATTCTTGAAGGGTTAACTGTTTGGAAACAGTAGCTGAGATAATACATATGAAGAGCTATTTGAAAAGGTAAAAGCAGTTAAGAAAAGAATTATATTACTTCTGAACTGTGATATATCATACAACACAGCTAACTGAAGGCAGCTGTAACATCTTTTGACTCTGCGAATTTTGATTATTTTGAAAAACCATTATTCACATTTGTCATTATCTTTCAACAAAACAGTGAGTTCTATCATTTCCACCAATCACAAACATTTCTCTTTACTTCAATAGGGCTCATCTGTTATTTTTGAGTCAAAAATACAGGGTTAAGTAACTAAAAGAGTGTAATTGGAGTGTTACAAACTAAAAGAGTGTTTGTAATAGAAAGGATAAGTGCCTGAGGGGATATCCCATTTTCCATGTGATTATTACAAACTGCATGTCTGTATCAAAACATCTCGTGTACCCCATAAATATATACACCTACATACAATGTACCCGCAAGATTTTTAATTAAAAAAAAAATCACAGTGAGGCCAGACGGTGGCTCACGCCTGTAATCCCAGCACTTTGGGAGGCTGAAGTGGGCGGATCACGAGGTCAGGAGTTCAAGACCAGCCTGACCAACATGGTGAAACCCCGTCTCTACTAAAAATACAAAAATTAGCTGGGCACAGTGGCACGCGCCTGTAGTCCCAGCTACTCGGGAGGGAGGCAGGAGAATCGCTTGAACCCGGGAGGCAGAGGTTGCAGTGAGCCAAGATCACGCCACTGCACTTCAGCCTGGGACACAGAGCGAGACTCCATCTCAAAAAAAAAAAAAAATCACAGTTAAGTCTTGGTTTAGTCTACCACCAGACAATCCTAATAGGTTAATAAGTGGATAGCAAACATCTCATTGCGACAAATACATCTTTATCAAGCCAAAACTGAATTGCAGTCGGCAAACATGAAGACATTAAAGCTATTTTCAAACAAATTTGAGTCACGGATCATCAAGAAAAACTGCTCTCTTGGGTTACCCACTACAGATTTTACCTAAAGGACGAAATTAGCCCACTATCTCAGACGGGCTAATACTGCAGCGGAAGGGCTCTGTGATCGTGAATGCGAATGATAAACGGAGTCAACACAGTAAAGTTACTCCCCTAGACATTCCACTTTAGCCTCTCTCCCAAAGCAAGATTTGAAGACAGCTGAAAATTGTGAAGTCGAGTTTTTTGGTGTTTGTTTTTAATTTCTTCGTCTTCTAAGATTTGAGAAGCTGGTGGTTAACAAACGAAGAAAGAAAGACCGGAGCCAGTGAAAGAAATAAGGGGCCGAGGTAAGCCAAAGCCTGCAAGCACCCACAAAACGAGCGAAGTCGGGGACCTGCAACAATGCTGCCCCAACGATCAGCTGTGAGAGATCCCATCCCTGGAAGGCTACTCAGCCCGACCCCGCTCCACTCAGTCTTCCCAGAGGATGACAGGGGAATCCCAAAACTGGAAAAGCGTACTTAAACAGGAGCACGATAAAAACTGAAACCACAACCTTGAAAAATACCTCACGAACTTCGACTCCAGTCTCCCGGAAAGCGGTCGGGCGACGATGACGTCAATGACGCACCGGCTCTTCCCACGGCGCAAGCGGCGCTTTCCGATGATCTCACGCGGCTCGCCACGCCCTCAGCTCCCTCTCCCTTTTCTCTAAAGGTAGTCTTCTCTTTAGAGCCTCAGACCCAAGTTGTGGGAGAAGCTTGACTCTGGGAACCTTTGTCTACATTTGTACCCGGCCAACACCCACCCCAAATGCAGGTTGAGTGTATTTAACCAGGTAAAAAATGTTAGTTACTGAACCTTTGTTCGGGTTTTTACTTTGGCGGAAGCTTTTTCCAGGGCCCTCGTTCTTACTATGCTTTTATTGTCTGCCTGAAGATCAGCCTCCTAGAGCAGCATCCCAGATTATCCGGGCGAAAGGACAGGTTATTTATTTTCCAATCTCTCAGTAAAAGATACTTCTATAAAATACAGTAAAAATGAATTAATGGAAAAATATGTGCAAAATGCAAGTCCAAATTTTTCATTATTAGTTTCAATAAATGTAAAATTGCATTTCAATGTATGCAATCAGAACAAACATAATAGAAAATAAAAGCATTACAGAAACTGTACATATTGTTCATTGAAAGTGTAGTATAAGCGATTGAGCATTGTCTTACCTCTGTAGCTTGTCATTCCACAGTCGTAATTTGATAAAAACTTATGCATAAAATGTTTGTCCATATGTTAAAGGCATGTGAAAGCACTTTGAATAAGCACCATGTATATAATATTTAAAGTTTTTTAAGGGGCAAATAATCGTTTCTATTATTGTACTGTTGAATTAAAGACAGTGCATCTTGCAGAACTTGCGGAGGATAGTACATATTTTCAACGTCTCCTGTTTTAACACTGTAGTAGGCACCAGCCTCCCATCACTACATGGATAGGAATTAAAAGAGAACATTTTCATATAAGACTTCTGGTCTTGTTTGTTGACCTTGGGGACCTGGGATGAAAGAGTACCACAGGTTACAGCCTGTGTACTCAAAATATTACTTTGCAGAATATTTTCCACGGCCCCTCTCCATAATCCTCCCCTACTTTTAAAAAGAAAAGCACAGGTCACACTATGTTAAGAATTCCAATATCAAATTTTGTTTCTATATAACATGAATTCAAAGGTAACTCTGAATTGGTCCACGTGACCCTGTTGGAAGCATGTACTCATTAATTTCATTTATTAATTGTGACCCAAAAGTGGCTGAATCACTCTTCCCCCATCCTTCTCTGGTTCGGAATTAAGAGTAAATAGATCAGTCACGTGTGGTGGCTCATGCCTGTAATCCCAGCACTTTGGGAGGCCTAGGTGGACAGATCATGAGGTCAAGAGCTCAAGACCATCCTGGCCAACATAGTAAAACCCCACAGGCTGTAACCTGTGGTACTTTTTTCATCCCCGTTCCTCAAGGTCAAAAAGTGCATGTTATAGAGTTCCACGGACTATGCAGAAATCAAACTCACTTATTTTTTCATCCATAGATCCTCATAACGTCTTGTTTTATGTATTTTAAGAAAGCCTTTCTAACAATTAACAATTTTTGTAGTTGACTGAGAAGAGCTAGTATGATGGAAACCAATTAAAGTTACTTTTTTATAAATGGGAAGCAAAGCCAGGTGCGGTGGCTCCCACCTGTAATCCCAGCACTTTGGGGGGCTGAGGCAGGCAGATCACTTGAGGTCGGGAGTTCGAGACTAGCCTGACCAACATGGAGAAACCCCGTCTCTACCAAAAATACAAAATTAGCTGGGTGTGGTGGCACATGCCTGTAATCCTAGCTGCTTGGGAAGCTAAGGCAGGAGAATCACTTGAACCTGAAGGGTGGAGGTTGCAGTGAGCCAAGATCGCCCCATTGTCCTCCAGCCTGGGCAATAAAAGCAAAACTCTGTCAAGGAAAGAAGGAGGGAGGGAGGGAGGGAGGGAGGGAGGGGGGAAGCAAAATTTGACAGTAGCTTGTATAAGAAATGATCTGATTTGTACTCCAATTTGAAAATTGAGATTTAAAATATGACTAAAAATTTATTATTAGTTAACGAAATTCTGGTTATAAATGCAACTCACTAACTCTTAAAATAAATAAAGACTGAATCAAATGTTGATTGGGACTTTTGTTATATAAAATTTTTATGAAAAGTTGTTAGGTGCTAACAATGCCGTGTTCTGGATTCAATCCTGGAAGAGGAAAAAGGACATTCATGGAGAAAAATCAGTGAAATCTGAATAAAATCGGGAGTGTAATTAACAGTAATATACCAATATCAGTTTCTTAGTTTTGACAAATATACCATGGTAATTTAAGATGTTAACATTAGAGAAAACTAGATGAGGGATAGGCAGGAACTCTGTTATTATCTTTGCACTATAAATCTAAAATTATTCCAGAATAACATTTATTAAAAATTGTTAGATGACCTGATGTGACATTTTTCATTTAGTTTAGCAACACAGCCATAAAGAGATTCATCTTTGCAAAAACTTGTGAAGGCTGTACCAATTTCCCAAGAGCCTCTCTTAATCCCTTGAAACCCAAACCTTCCTTTCTTGAAGCACATAATCCTTGTCATAAATCTTGTAGATTTTCTCTTTTTTTTTTTTTTGAAACAAAGTCTCGCTCTGTCACCAGGCTGGAGTGCAATGGCACAATCTCGGCTCACTGCAACCTCTGCCTCCCCAGTTCAAGGTGGGACTACAGGTACACGCCACCATGCCCAGCTAATTTTTGTATTTTTACTAGAGATGGAGTTTCACCATATTGGCCAGGATGGTCTCGATCTCTTGCTCACCTCAGCCTCCAAAGTGCTGGGATTACAGGCGTGAGCCACCTCGCCTGGCTCTAGATTTTCTCTTTTTTAACAGTAACTGCTCTTGAGTCTGCCATATCCTCACTGTCCATGACTTTCCATTTTATCCATGACTTTCCTCAATTAAAGTCTAACATTTTTTGCAATATTTGTGATTGCAGTCGGTAGTCAATATGTGCTCCCCACCCCTTCTTATAGCACTTGAAAGGAAAATGCCTGTTGAAAGGTGATAGACTCTAGAGTGAAGAGTGGAGAGAATTTGGACGGGAAACTAATAAGTGGTCAGGTTTTTTGTTTTTTTTTTTTTAACAAAATGGCCTATATAACCTCATAACTATAGGAATGCAGATAATATTTGGAAGGCAGGGAACTTTATGTTTCTACTTACATAAAGAATTGAAGAAATAAAGCAGCTAATGAGAATTGGCAGCCAATTAAAAAAAAAGACTCAAGAAAGATGCAAACAAGAGGCACAAACTATGTACAGAGATTTTCTTCCTCCTGTAGAGCACTGTGTCATAAGAAAGACTCCCAGAAGCAGATGGCAAAAATGAACACCTTCCAATCTTCCCATAGCTATGGTTCCACAGACGGTAAGGATGTACATAGACTCACACTCAAACCTATGGGAAGTCCAACACAGGCCCACACCCAGTTATAATGTGATTGTCCTGATACAATTATGTTGGTTTTTCAGGCTGTCGAAAAAGGGAAGAACACAAAATCCCAGGCTAAAGTGCTGGAATTACAGGCATGAACCATTATGCTTGACCCTGACAATCTTTAAGTGGAGATATTTGTCATAATGTGTACAGTGTACTGTGCTATGATGTAGTCTATGCCATGATCTTTACTAACTGGAAAACAAATAGCTATTCACGAAGAGGGCCCCATTCTTTGGTAGATCTTCTATAAAGCCCCTATCCCTAAGGTAAAATATTTGCATCTGGATACAAGAAATAATGGTTTGGAAAATCTAAATTACCAAAACTGGCTTAATTTTATTGACAACATAGTTAATTCTCTGCACTCAGAAACAAAGTATTTGATGTAAAAGAAAAGTAGGTGTTCTATGGCTTTATTTGCTTATTTTGCTTTGTTTTGTAAGGTTGGTAGTGGAAACTTATTTTTATTAGCAACCATCATTGATGAGTGTTGAGAAAAAATGAGGGAGAAACTCTGTTTTTATGTCTTATGTCAATAGCATATTTTATTTCCTTCATATCAGGTAATAAATGATAACTCACTACCTTATTAGTGTTGGGTTCACTTCACTCTTCAAGTACCTATTAGCCCTACAGGCAAAAATCTTGAAAGGATCAAGTCACACTGAATCTCTCCCATGGTGGCCAACATGCAACTTCCCTGGGGGACCTTCCCCAAGTTGATTTCTCTATTACTCACTTTCACTCTCACTTTCATCAGTGTCCTTGGCCAGAGCTGCCGTCATCTAATAGCAATTCAAAGGAGGTGGCATAAAATGATAATGTACAGATAAATGCAGCAGGCAGTCCAATCTGAGTCCAGATCTGGCACTTTTTTTGTAAACTACTCAACTAGATTTTGAAGTTCTTAAGGACAGTGACCTCTTTTCTGCCTCTCTTGTGTCTTTTTCTGTGCCTAGTATGTTTCTATAATTCTATCTAGTTTAGACTGATTATGATTGATCAGATTCATCTTTTTCACTATTATACAAAAAAGTCTAGAAAATGTATGTAAACTAGTTAGTATAAATAATTCTGACATTTTTTCAGCATGAAAAAAATAGAGTAGAAATGTTATAACACAATTGTTGGCCAGAAGAAATACATCTGTATTTTGAAGGAAAAAGAATATGTTCTGTTCAATCAGTACAATTACATGTAATGTGTAGAGAAACTCAGAAAAAATATAGTTAAATAAGGTAATGACATCTGAGTGATTCTTTAAAATTCTATTTCTCAAATATTCTGTGAAACATTTATATTATGTTAAATATAAGAAATACAAAGGAAGAAGCATGGCAGATACAATTTTGTTGATTAAAAATATTTCTGTTCTTTCATTAGAAAATTTTAGAATAAATAAATATTACATTTAAAAATAGGTAGAAAGAGGCCGGGTGTGGTGGCTCATGCCTGTAATCCCATCACTTTGGGAGGCTGAGGCAGGCGGATTGCCTGAGGTTAGGGGTTCATAACCAGCCTGGCCAATATAGTGAAACCTCGTCTCTACT